CCTTTGTCAACTCTAGAACGACACTGTCAGATTATCAGCAATACTATTTTTAAAATTTTTATTTTAATCCTTGTACGAAAATTGGGTCTGTATAATTCAGAATAAACTCTTACCTCTTCGTTATTAATGTACCATTTAAACTGGAACTTTCTCAAGTCTTCAAATGTGTAGTAAATATTAATAATTATGGGGAAAGAATAATGATCTTTGCACATTTTGCAAAGGAAATCGATTGTTATTTATATCAGCGAAATAATGGAAGAGTAAAATCTTTACTCTTCCACCAGCAGCGATGTACGCACATAAAAAAATTAGGGCATGCTATTTTATACGTCCATAAATTCCACATGCAAATAAATTCACCGAAAATGTAAGAAATCTATTTGTAAAGCACACCATGAAATTATTTGCGTCATGTGCATGGGAAGAAATAAATAATGTAAAATTACAAACCTAGAAAATGACTAAAATAATAAATTGTAATGATTAAAACATTCATTCTTTGTACTCATTTCTTGAAGATTTCGTATAAAGATTAGTTATATGTAATCTGAATTAATAAAATATTTAAAATTTCATTCATAGCTTCTTGATGATTGTCGTAATTATTTATAAAATTCTTCAACATAATAAAAGCGTCACCTGTGAAATAATAAAATAAGTGGAATACTAAAATAATATCAGTCGTTCAAAGTATCCAAAATAAATAACGGAATAACAAAACGTAAGTAAGTAACTTGTTTTTAAAAAGTGCAACTGTTTCAGATAAGACAAATTATGTTCCCTACGTACGAATATATTGACTTGGATAATCAGGAGCGTATTGCAATTTAAAATAAATTTTTATTCCGATTTCCTTTCTTTGATTCAAGACAAAGAAAAGAAAAAATACCTTTTCTTGAGATGACGAGAAAAATAGAAAAATGTTCATAATTTATTATGGATATATCCACAGTCTCATAGTCTCACAGTGTGAATTTGCAATCTTGAAACATACGAGCAGTCGATTCTTTCGTTATTCAACAACGAGCCGTCTGACCGATGAAGAAAGGTTAAACGTGGGATTACAAGGATCGGTTGCAAATTCGTCGGTGGTAAACGATAGCGTTGGCGCGGAGATCCGCGCGGGCTTTAGAAATTCCCAGGGTGGCTGCTGGTAGCGGCGGGGTTACCTCGATAAATCACACGGTGCGCTTGACAAAAGGGGCCCGACGAAAGGGCCGTCGCCATAAACGTATAAAGTAATTACGCGTTGCATCCGCGATATAGCGGCGTCGGCAAGCCATTCACCGGGGGATCCGCCTATGTCCTGCCTATATGGCGGGCAAAGCCGGTTCCTGTAGCATGGAATAGCAGGCTAGGTAAGCTATGCGCGATTTTCGCCGCATCGAAACCGAAGCTTTCGTCGCGCGCCACACCGCGGCGAGGATTATATTTCGGGGGCGCGCATTATCGGGACACGTACTCGATAGAGGCACCTGTATGAGAGACGGCTGGCTCACTGTGCACCGCCCAGCTACCACCATGGATTTCATCGAGTTAAACCCTCTTTTCGTCCCCGCGCCCCCTTTCAGCTCTCACAATTCCGTTCATATTCATGCGAGCCCGATTCAAATGCGTATTACGTCTGTCAGAAGTGATGGCTTGCGATCGTTGCGAGGGAAAGCAGCTTTTCAAATGAAAGGAGGCGACCTCGCCCGTTTCCTTTCGGTCAAATGGTACCAACTAACTTTCACTCGATGCACAACTCGGTAACGCTTGCAAAAATACTCGTCGCCTCAACCTCAGTTACATTCTTCTTACATTAAGAGCGTATATTTTACCAATTAAAGCATTAATCGTCAATCATCTATTGATATATATATTTTCGCAATGTATATAAAAATCATTCACAATTCGATGTATTAAATTTTGTATTATTTTATAAGTGCATTGTCGTCAGCACGAGCAGTGAAGTGCTTTTGAGCAAGCATTCACACAGCAAGACGCTCCGAATGTAATTCGATGCTGGAGATTTTCAAAAGATTCGATGAGTTTTGAGTCGTTTCGAGAAGTTTCGAAAGTTGAAGTTATCGGAGCCGTGGCTTTCTCTGTTGAATAAGCCGTGCTCTTTGGAACACTCGGGAAACGTTTGAATATATTTCGTCTAAGAAGGAAGTTTTTAAATTCTTTACATTCGCAAACCGCTCAGGAAGCACAGATGAATTCTGAAGTAAAAAAGCGAGAACACTGTTCCATTTGCACGTTTTTCTTAATATGGTAGTTATATCGAAATTGTCGTAACTGCTCTTCGATCTTCGCGTTCGTCAGGAATTTTCCAGTCATAAATCCGGTTTTCGTACAAATAACAGCAGTCTGCACTAAAGTGTGAAAGAACGTGAGAACATGAGTAGTTATGAGTAAGACTGGAAATATAATTTCCAAGACTAACAACTGTGTCGTCGTAATGAATCAGAACGTTCCGACGATGATCTAGTCGAGTTCTTGATATTTCTTGCTTAAGTTAAGTTGCGAAGAAGTCGCGAAATTCCAATCGCAAATTCTCTTTCGCAAGAAATCGCGCGATACGATTGGTAAAAAGAGAAAATCGCAATTTCATTAATCTTCGTTAACTGCTTATCGCATTTCTCAATTTAATTATCGCAGGTATACGCGCACGTACAGTCACGTACGAAAACGTGGGAATGGCTTCAGGCTGTCAAAGATAAAGATTGATGAACAGGAACAACGATGAGAACTGATAGATAAGATTAGGTAGGTCAGCAGAAATGCTGTTTCCATCACAGCCCGTTAAATCGAGCGTAGAAATAAGAATACCTACATGCTCGACAGGAATCCAAATGGGGCCTGGTTGCTCGCAAAACGATGTATTATGTATACGGAATAAATGGAATAGAGAGCAGCTCGAGCTTGGGTCCTTCGGAACCAATAGGGCGAGCTAACGGTCCTGCCATCGAACATATTGCCATGGTCACGTGTATGCGTCCCCTCTGCCACATATCCTGCCATCCTGGATAAGTTTTCGGATGGAAGAAGTAGCGATGTGGATAAATTCCCCGAGCTTCCGAAACTTCCACGCAACGGCGAAAGTGCAGATATAAGCACAACTACGTAGAAAGTCCACGCACAATGCTTAAAGCGAGACGCCGATCTATAAAGAGCTTAAAACCTATCCTGAAATTGCTTCTTATTCTGTTCTCTCTTCAAAGTTTTCACACTCCGTTCCACCGCCTTGCTATAGCCGAAGTTTTTGCTCTGTGCGAAACTGTTTCATATGTATCCTAGCTGTAACAATTAAATATGTGCTGTATCTTTCCACGATCGAGTATTTGACCGAATTATAAGACATAACTGTAAGTATTGCAATCATCGTGATAAAATGACAAAAAGAAAAAAAAAAATTATTGAAAGTTCATCGAATAATCGACGAGTAGCAAAATTATTACAATTTTTTGTAGTCACACAGCAAAATACAATATCATTTATACGAATAAATTCTTTCGTGAAAATACAGAGTGAAAATTATATCCTGTGTTACTGAAAGTGAATAGAAATAATTCTTATTCTTTTACGTATCAACGTTTGTTTTTCATCACCCATGTAATTTTTTAGTCAAGTTTAATGACCTATGATATCATGACCTCGAAATGATCTTATATAGTAAAATATCTTTTCTTATTTCTTATAGTACTCTTACAGTGCAGTAATTTACTCTATAGTAGTATTACTTCTTAATTCATTATCTAATCTACTCCATTCATTTAAATGAAATTTTAGTCAATTAAACAAATTGTGATTGGTTGAATCCGCTTATTTGAGCTTGAACATTCTTATTGTACGTATTATATAAACAATTTATCTTCTGATAAGTTTACACACAAGTAGAATTTGTACTGCAAATTAAACAATTTATTTACACATATTAAATTAAACAGTTTTAGAAATATTGCAGTAAATTAGAAATACTTTTTGTAAGTTTATATAGTTCTACTATATCATTAATTAGCATTCACAATTTATATTTTACATATTAATCGTTTTCGTTATTTGCTGAGATATTGGAAAATCATTATCGGTGATTCGAATTTCTTATTCTGTTTATATTAAAACTAGTTAAATTATAAATGTTTCGTATTTACGAGACAGAAGCTTTTCGTGAAAAACGTTCTTAATAACAGATAATATAAAACAATAAATTTAGAAAGTAGGTTAAATTAATTATCAGTATCGTGCAATCATTTATTTCGAACATTTAATTTAATAAAATGAGCTGATAGATAGCCGTTGTTTTATTATTTGTTGTTTGAATTCATTTTTTCAATTTAAGTCCATTTCGTGACGTCGTCAAATAAAATCGAGAAGAAAAGAATTATTAATGAAACGACCTTGGATAAACTCTTTTTACTGTTATTAAATGCACATCCGTAAAACATACATTGTACGTCTTTGCTAATTATTTCTCTTTTAACTTCAGCAGCGCTGGAAATAATTTAAACGTTCGATTTAAATGGAGCACCCGGTATAAAATTTAATCTCTTCCACGATACATATTCCATCACAAAGTACCAACAATTAGCGGACGATTAATATTTACCTCGCTTTACAATTATTCGCTTTCATCCCATTAAACTATGCACAAAGGAAGTTTAATTTTACTTTCTGAATAATAAAGGCCAATTTGATTCAAAGTAAAGGTAGGTTAACAATCGGTATAAATGTACGAAAGATTGAAAAGTACTAGGCGAAATATTAATATCGGGGATGTAACGACAGTTTCACGTTTACATAAAAAATGTATCTCTCTGAAAGAGAGACGGTACTTAAGAAGAAGAAGAAGTAGGGTAGAAAGTTGTTATCAAGCTCATCATGAACTTCAGGTGACTGACCTGAGTTCGCGCTCATAGCAAATATATCGGCTATAAAAAAATTCGCCTTCGCGGTTTCTTACCGATTCATCCGATCGAGCGGAAGACTGAGGTGATAGAGCGGGACGAAAGAAATGTGATTAGAAAGGAAATGTGGAGAAAAAGGTATCACCGAGGTCGCGAAATTTTTTTTTTCAGCTTCCCGTTCGCTTCTATTTCTTTGTTCTCGTTTCTCTTTTCGCCACTCGGCAAAGTTTCCCACTGTGGGTGCCTCAAGACTGCCGCACAGAATCCTTCGTAGAAGTCACCTTGCTTTTCTATTGTTCAGTCTTTCGCGAACTTTCCTCTCCTTTCCTCTGTTCTTCCTCCTCTTTCACGGCCTTTCCCTTCGTTTTCCCTGCCATTCTCTTCGAACGTTCGCGTACACTTTCGTTTCTCTGGTTACATTTACTTACTTCGGTCCCTCTCTTCGGCTGTTTGCATTGCAGCAGCAGTAGCAACGGCAGTGGTAGTAGCAGTAGCAGTGGCGGTAGCAGCTGGCAGCGGCTGCGCGTTCCCGAACTTCGGAAACTCTAACGAAATCTTGGGCAAGGTGAATATTTTATGCGTAAATCAAATCCCGGCAAATATACGCGAGAGAGCGAGGATCCGTGGCACGGAGCAGCTAAATTGAATAGAAGCGCTACTTGAGTACAGCCGTATGCTTCGCCATTCGACTCTCTCTCTCCTCTCTCTCTCTCTCTCT